CTCTCTCTCTCTCTCTCTCTCTCTCTCTCTCTCTCTCTCTCTCTCTCTCTCTCTCTCTCTCTCTCTCTCTCTGTGCGTGTGTGTCCGGAGTACCAACGCAAGCGTTTGTCTGCATGTTTTTCTCTCTCTCTCCCTCCCTCTTCGTGTGTGTGCGAACTCACTCCACGGTCCCGTCAACGTCAAGAGCAAGAAGGTGCTCCTCGCTCAGCTCCAGCAGCGCCATCGAAACACGAAAAAAGACCTGAAAGGGGGGGGGTACACATATGCACAAACCATCACGATTCAACAGGCAACAAAAACAGCAATGCAGGTGGAGACAAGGCAGAGCAACACGCAACTAGCACATGGCATCACACACAACACACTGTGTCGGCGTTTTCTGCCAGGTGTTGTCTCAACGAACGGCGACAGCGAGAGCGACGCTCAATGTCCATCAAATCAAAAATACACTTCTAATTCTACAAAACAGTGTAGGGAGGTGTTTCGTACGGGCTGAATAGTGCCGTTGCTCGAGATATCTGGCACAAACTGGATCGCCAAGTCATTCTGTACTTGGCTTATAAAAGTGCCGGTGTCCCGTATAGTGCCGGTCTTTTCTCTGGGCACATGCCGGCACTAAACAGGCCCCCTTCAAATGAATTGTACTGTTTGTGAGTACTGTACTCGCCTCGAAGTCTCCCGAGGATAGCCACCAGTCCCAGATGCGCCTCACCGTTGTCCGCGGCATGGCGTGCAGGTACACGAAGAGGGTCTGGAACCAACCCATCGCCACCTTGTGCCAAAACGACGCAGGCGCCAAGGCCCGGGGCGGCGCAAGAAACATCATCAACGGCGTAGGCGACGACAGTATTAGCGACAACTATCCTGCCGCTGTTGATATGCTATCAGTTTCTCGACCACCAAAAGCTGGTCGCGAAAATACATGGGTGTTATTGTGACCCTGACGTTTTTGCCGCCAGTCGATGCATTTCCGCATGCTTGGGGACGTTTGTATGCGACCAGTCGTTGCTGTTGTTCGTGTCTCGCCTAACTATAGGTTGTTTGCGTTCGAGCGCCGCGCTTACCATGTCGATGGAAAAGTCGATGCTATCGAAGTGGGCGGCCAGCGCGGGTAGGCGACGCCCCGAAAGAAGAGTCAGCACCTGTTCAAGAAAAAAAAACAAAAAAAAAAGCAAACGGCATGAAAATCCGAGCGCGGAGCAAAGCAAGCTTGTAAGTACACGACATGGGAAGCACGGTTGGTTTCGTTCCCACCTTCGATGCAGCTATTATAGAAAAATAGCACTCATCAAAGAAGACGTTAAGAAAAAATGTGTGTGGGGGG